TCAAGCCGAGTCAGTAGCAGGAGGATTCCACAAACAGAAAGCCTGTGGCCCAGGATTTATTTTTTGAGACTTGCTCCTAATTTTACAGATGACAGGCCCACGGTACAGTACCAGCAAGAGGATCTTTATTTTGTTTTATGTGAATATTTTACCTGTCAGATTTTTTCCCTCAAGCAGCTTTATGATTTTAGAATCACACTTTAGAATATCAGAATGAACCTGACCTGTATTAGTTGGTTGGCACAGTTACTCTGGCCCCTTGCTTCCAATGGTTACCAGAGGGTAAACAGGATGGCTTGTAATACTTAATTTTTCTATATGAGGTTATTTCAAATAGGAACCATCCAAATAGCTTCCTTCCAAGAGCCTTCAAAGCTCTTTTCATACAGGAGCCTATAACTGCTCTGTCAGTGAAATTATTCCTGTGATGCAAATGTAGCTGAGAAAATGGGAGATTGCCTAGGGCTATCTAGCTTGTAGGGAGGTGAGAGTTCAGTAGGACAGAACATTATTATAATGTCCTACTGAAATAATTCAGTGATACTGTTTGTTTAAAGCAGAGCCCATTGAAAGCCCATGTGGGGGATATACAATTTATTTTCTTTTGAGTAACATTTATCTCTAGACTCTGAAGTACATATTTTAGAAGGATGATTGCTTTTTATGATTGTTTTCATGAGTTCTTTTATGCTTTGGCAGATACAGATACTTAAAATTTCAGCAAATGTGTACGCTTTGTATTGAGTGACTGAGAATCAGAATGTAAAATTGAACTTGTGGAATTAAACAGCAAGTGAGAGATCTGCTTAAAGATCTAGAATGGCATATCCTCCCTCTCACCTGTCCTCTTGTTCTACTACTGTGGAACCTTAGGAGATGGGGAAAGTACTAGCAAGGGTTTGTGGGGGTTGTGGACAAGAAAGAGTCCATGCAATGAGGTCTTTCATCACTGGAAGACATGTCATTTCTAGTCACCAATGTGATAACAGGGGAGGGAAGCTTGTAAGACATGCTTACCAGTCAATTAACTATATGGCAGTGAATAATTGGGCAGGTGTGATAAAGTACTTTTACTTGGTCATGCTAATCTCATTCCTGATGCAGCTTTTAAATGTATGCATATGTATAAGTTAGTATTGCGAAGGTGAAATATAAGCAGGTCATATTCGGTAAATTATGAGAGAGCGGGCGGTAGAGGGGCATGAATCTGATGCTGAATTATTCAACAGAGATTTTCCAGGAAAGGAAATATTGCACATCCTGTTCGTTGGTCATTCTTTTTTTCTCATTACTTTTGAGCACTTAAGCCATTTTTCCATGGAGACTTTCATTAGAGAGGTAGTTAACCATGGGGGGTTGGCAATTTGTTAAATTCAGTTTTAAGGAACGTTAATTGAGTGACGTGATGGCTCTGTGTGGAAAAGTACCTTTAGCTTATTTTAATAGGATACATTGATTTTCTGGCTTCCTCTTGTGAGCATGCACCCTAAAGCAGCTATGACTAATATACTGATCAAGCAAATGCATGCATAAGCAAATAAGCAATTTCATTATGGTTCCTGGAACATCTTATGGTTTAGGAATAGCATCAGTAATTTAAAATTTATATATGTATGTATCACACACAGAGCTTTCTGTGTCTACAACTTTCCTCAACTCTAATCAGAAAAATCTGCTCTACGCACCCTCATTTTGCTTACAGTTACATTTACTTTGAATTTTGCTTACATCTGTATGTTATGCGACTTGGTATTTGGTTTGAGACTAGGATAGAGAAGGGGATTCAGTAGTGCAGATAGGTCATTTTAGACCCTGACTTTAATGGTCTTACAGAACTGTGGGCTTTAAGACACCCATGTGTGTTACTTCAGTTGTGAAGGACACAACTAACTAATCTCTCCCCTCCCCTCCCCTCCCGTTTCTCACTGTGGGTATATCCGTTACACTGCATCTACATTTGTAATACAGTAGAGAAAAGCAAGCAATTTGCCAATCCTGATGAAAAAAAAAAATTAACAGGTGTAGTTTTGCATTTTAAACTTCCTTAAACCGTAGCATCATGACCACAGCAAGAGCAAAGCGGAAGTGTGCTTCTGTTGCTACACATATTTACTGGAGAATGAGCACCATTTCACTGTAGAAAAGGATACTCTATTACAGTAAAAAGGCCAAGATCATCCACACTAGTGTATTCCTCATCACTCTGTATCTGTGAAAACTGGACAGTGACGAAAGCTGATAGGAAGAAAATGTACGCATTCAGAACATGGTGTGGGAGGAGAGCTTTGCGAATACCCAGAAATGAAAGAAAGACAAACAAGTGGATCCTAGGTCAAAGCAATCTGGAGCTTTCTCTAGAGGAAATCATGACAAAACTGACACTGACATATTTCGGACACAACATGAGAAGGCAAGACTCTGGAGTAGACAATTATGCTAGGAAAGTTGAAGGCAGAAAAAAAGGAAGACCAAATATGAGATGGATTTAAGCCACAACCTTGCAGGGCTGTGAAAGACAGGATATGTTAGAGGCCGTTCATTCAAAGGATTATCATTAGTTGGAGATGTCTTGATGGTGCATAACAACGATTACAGCAGAGATCATAAAATGTGCATCTATAACTATATACATGCCCTGCTGGTTGCTAACAGATGTGTGTATATTTAATTGAAAGAATGGATGCCAAGATGACCCCATTTCATTGGCCCATCACTTACCATTTTGGATGATAATGGGGAATGGACTTTGGGCTACAGGATCCTAGAATTTGGCTCCAACTTCTAATCCTAACTGCGCACTGATTAAAGGTATATTACGATGGTGGATTTTGACTAAATGTGCACCAGTGCAAAGCCCACCCATGGCCTTCATTGACATGGTGGTTTTCCATTCATGGGTTGTTTCCAGATAGACCTCTTAATGTGCCTTGTGACATTCTGACAGGGGAGGAAGACATTATGATCCAAATCCAATCCAGATATTAGTTATCAACAGTGTAATTTTTACATGTGTACTCAGAAGTATGTCCCATTGGGTTTCCTGAGTATTATCCCTAAAGGCACAATCCTATGCATGTTTAGGCAGAAAAAGTCCTACAACTCCCAGCATCCCCTAACCACCATTAACTGACTAGGGCATGCTAGGATCTGTAAGATTTATCCTGTCTATACATGTGCAGAGTATTATGTTCTACTTGTCTGGTTCAATACTGAACCACCCAAGGTAGATTTGATGCCAAGTAAAAACACAACAATTAAAAAAAGTAAAAGTTTAGTATAGGCAATGGTATCAAGTTAGCACACTGATTCCTACTTAGGATTTTTTCAAGGTTAGTAAATCTGGTGGAATGAATGGACTTTTGCTCTCACTTTACAGTGCATGTAATGGCATCTTTAACTAGAGCAAATAATTTCCCACCATCAAAGTTTCATATCTAAGATGAAATTAAATGCCTGCTCTGAACAGTAGAGCAAATGGATACTTCAGTGAATTATATAATAATTTACCCAAAATGCTTGTGGTTCTGAGTTGTGGCCATACAGCAGAGAAGGAGAAATTCAATTTCCTACATACTAATTTTCCAGGGAGAAAAAAATCAAATCATTCTCTCTTATGAGTCTATAAATGAATTTGCCTATCTCATTGCAGACTCCCATTCATTCGTCATCATTCGTATTCCTTTCCGTGCTTATACAGCATTGACCTGACATACTGCTTTTGGAAAGCAGCCAGTGAGAAGGATTCAACAGTAGGATTCATAACTTTTTATCAAGATTTCCCTGTATTCAATGCTCTTGGGCTACTTTTGTGCTTTAACTTAAGGGCAGGAGTTGGAGGTTGGGAGGGAAAAATATCTGCAGAAAGGAGATATTATCACTGTCACCAGCATTTGAAGTCACTTCAAGATGTGTAGAATGGCCCATGGTAGAGTTTTCTGGGTGGAAGGCTGCACCATACTGATTGTAAAGGGTATGTTGCATGCAACAGCTTTTTCTTTCTGACTGTGCCGTCCTGCATATGGGCTGTTTGCCTGTGCTGAGCTTGATTGACATGTCTCTTTGACAATGGTGCTTGTTGCTTATAATTGTTGTAAGTACTTGTATTAAGTGCAATAACTTTTTAAAATGGACTTATTAGGAATACTTAGTTGATCAAAGCTTTTTAAATCAACTTAGTGTTGCTGCTACGCACTGGGTGAACTCTTTGAAATTATGGCAACAGGGGACATCCTGACTGCCATGTTGCTCTGTAATTCTAGGAACGGTTTTTCATTATTAGTATAATATGGTTATTCACTACCAACAGTGTCTGAGGTACAGTCCTGTGATAACTATTGATGTCCGACATGGCACAGGAAATCAAAGAACGTTCTTATCTAGCTAGAGGATGTGATATGATGCTGCAGGTCAAGACCAGGAAAATGTACTATTGCTGCAAATCAGGCAGTCATGGCTTGAATGCAGGATCTGGCCAAGGCAGCTCTGCCTTTACATTACAAGCTCCAGTGGTTATTGGCTAGCCAGCAGCAAATAACTCAGCTGAGTCTACATTTGCATGTTGACAATAAAAGGGGGTAAATGTGTCAAGGATGTGAGGAAGCAGGCAGCACCCAATAACTGAAGAAACAAGAGAAGGCATGTCCCTGGTAAAATCATGATTTAAATTATGATTTAAAATCATAAATCACAGCTCAGTATATTTCAGATAATTATTCTCTCCTTTCTCAGGGGCAATAGATAAAGCATAACAGGAGACAACATGCAATACTGAATATTAACAATTTAAGCTGTTGCATTCCAAGCACAAATGCTGCATTATCCAAATCTACCTGGTCAATGTTAAAATGTATGAGTCCTTGAAGAAAGTTTAAACATTTATCTGTAGGTATTGGTGGTGGTGGTGGTCTGTTGCAAACTGACTGCTCTTTGTTGTTTTTATACAAAGCTTTAGATGCACAAATTTTGAATATTTGTGCTAACTTGTTTTATCTTAAATTTAGGATCTTGTACCTGAGAAAGGAGATATCAATTCTCTGAAACATATTAAGCTCTGATTTATAGCTAAAAGAAATGTTTTACCAGCACTAGGGGCATGCCTTCTCCTCTTTTTATTTTTATGAAGAATGCCAAACATTTCTAGTGCTTGGAATGCCTTGGGGAAAGGATGGAATATACATCTGATAAATGCAATAGACTGAACCACTGCCTTAATAAAGACATTGGTATCCCAGCAGAAATTGAATACATGCTGAGAAAGTGCTTATAATTATAATAGAGGGGGTTATAGCTACTCTTCCTCAGTGGATCCAGGCAGGCTGATCAGGTTGTGATGCCAGCGAAGGCATTCCGAGCTTCACCTGTCTGATTTTTGCGCAATGACTCAGAGTGATGCTAGGTCAGGACATTGTGTCAAATAAGGAGCAGCTAGAGCCAGCTGCCTGGTGCTGCTCAGAGTACTGAGACAGAAATTATTTTAGGTGGGTGGGTAGATGCAGGAGTGGGCAGGCATTAGTGAATGCCATTCTTTGGCTATCAAATAACCAGTGATCAGGTGCTACAATAAACTAACCCTGAGTGATGGTTCATGGGAAGGAAGTTTCCATATTCAGAGGGTCCAAGCTAATTATATATCTATTCTGACTGAACCAGTAACTAAGGGTTGTGTGTTATGCCACAGTTGTGTTATGCCACAGTTTTCTAAGTTTTAAAAGTTGCACATATGTTTCTTCTCTGATGTGCCTTGTTCTTCACTGACATACCAATTTCTGAGTAAAACAGAAGGCCTGTTAGGCAAGCACATTTCTCATTCATGCTTCTCTGTTGGATACCCCTGATTTAAAAATGAATTTTTCTTCCACTGGCATGGTTTATGGACCTTGGATTGAGCTAATTCTATGTGGTGTCTTTAGGTTAAAAAAAATTCTTAGATCCCGCCAGCTGAGATATGAATTAGATGAGTAGTTCTCATAAACAGTGGGCAGTGATTTATGGCCAGTTTAGTAAATTTCTAAGCAGGGTAGATAGATAATGAAAACATATCCCCAGGTGTGCAATAAACAGCCTGATAAAGTACATTGTGGAAAGGGTTTTGTATCTTATTTCCATAAAAAGACTGTTTTAAATTTTATAGTGATCAGCATAATTCTATCCAACTGGCTCTATGCATTCTGATTCTCATAATAAGGCAGTGAAGAACTTCACTAGGGCAAACAGTTCAATATGTTAGTCAAGTGGAATTTAAGCTATGTGTAAAAACCTATTCTTGCTTCACAGTTGTTTTATGGTGCCAAAATGTATTTAAAAATCCTGTTGTGTTACTTGAAACAGGCTTGCAGAAAGGGAGTTTATTGTTTTTGTTTTGTTTTTTTTGGTGTGCTATATATAGAAAAGATGTGGGAAAAAGGACGTTTTCCAGATGTTCAGCTCCCAGAGGCCCCTATGTGCATGGGACAATGGTGGTGAATGATGGGAGCTGAAGCCCCAAACATTTGGACATCTTCTTATTTATAGTCCATGGCCCTTTCAGACAAAACCTCCCATGCAAGGTGTGCCAGCAGGTTGGACTTACTGATGAATGTGGGTAGGGACAACATGTATGAAATAACTTTTCCAAGGAAACTTGTCCAGCATACAATAGTATGGTCATTATCACACAGCAGTGGGGATGGTCCTTCACACTATTTTACTCAGAAAACCTTCACTCACCTGGTACCACCAATGAATTCTTCATGTCTCTCCTTTCTTTCAGGAAAGATGCTGATTTGATGCTTTCAGTGCTTTTCTTCAACTAGATTTGAATGTTGGTCACCCATCTATCAATTTCTTTTGTTTCATGGTCATACTCTAGCTAACTAGTTAGTGTATGTGGATGAGGAAAACGTTCCATCAACCTAATACGGAGGGTTTTATCAGCTAAGCATGTATTGTGAGGTGAGTGTTCCTTCACAGCAGCAACAAACTCCCCAGCATGTCTATATTCTACATAGAAGTCTCTGAGCATATACAAAGCAAAATGTTGAACCCGCTCTGTTCCTTTTCACCCAAAGCTTTGCTTATTGAACCCTTCTGTGCTGGTCTCAGGAAGGAGGGGCACTGTGGAACCAGGCTCGTCTGCGTACTTCACTCTGAGATCCCAGTTGGGCCACCCTGCAGCTGTGATGACATACTTTTGGGTCCACCTCCTCAGGAGGCTGGAGTTCTCCATTCGAGAAACTCCCCATCTCTAAATTCTCCTCTTCAGGATGTTGTTGTTCTTTGTTCCCATGGGCGGGTTAACTGGGCCCCTTGGCGGCCTTTGAACTAATCTCATTCTGAGCAGGCACAGACAGGTACAGAGAACCTTGGACTGCAGCTGGAGCGGCATCTGTTTCAACATTATGAGTCCAAGCTGTCAGCCCTCTAGAGTCAGCCAACTCCCCTTCATACAGCTCATTCTCAGAGTCTGAGCTGTCAGTCCTGCCAAAATTGAGGTCCAACATACAATCTACTGTGCCACACAGGCTCCTTTTCCTGTTTATGACACATTTATGCTACTCCATAATCAGAGTTCTCTAGATGGCCTACAATAAAAATGTTAAAGTACAGCCAGAACATAACATAAATACACCATAACATTAAGCAATTGAAGACAAGAAATTAATTGACTGAAATTAACAAGCAGCAAGTGAGAAACTTTATATATACATATAAAACTTTTACAGAAAGAAGATGAAAATACAAAGGGTATGCACGTGGTATCAAAAAGAATACAAAGAGGACACCAGTGGTGCCATTGAAAAAGTCCCCCTTCTCTCATTCTCTCTCTCTCTCTCTCTCTCTCTCTCTCTCTCTCTCTCTCTCTCTCCCTCCCTCTCTCTCTCTCTCTCTCTCTTCTCATATTGTAAGGACCCACTTCTCTTCAAATACAGCACTCCAAGCTAGAGAACTCTGAACATGAGTAAAAAGAGGAGTGGTTGGAATGTTATTCAAATATAAAGGTTAAAAAGCTGCAAGATAACCAAGCAGTTGGTGAGAATCAGACCACCTCTGGTTCATCAGCAGACACCAGAACAAGAAGGGTCAGGGGGCGGGGGGTGAGTTTATCAGCCTAGCAGTTTGCCATCAAGTCAAATAAGAGGACAACTTCAGTAATATCTGGTATTCATTCTGTCTTGCGCACAAGTAGCACCAACTTCCCTGAGGGTGGAACCAGCCCTTTTGGAGACAGATACCATTTGGAATCAATTCCCGACATGGGCAAAAGCTAACTCCACAGATTAGTAGGATCATTACCTTGATACTTGTCAACGATTTTTATATTACTCATTCCTTAATTGCCAAGCCAACTCCAACTGGCCAGCCTAACTTAATAAAGGACTGTATTTAGAAGCCTTTCACCTAGATCCACTGAAAAGAGAAAGGGGGAGAGACCTGCGCAGGACAGTCATGGCAACCTGGCAGATTTTATTTGGTGCTGGCACTCAGTGAAGACTCTCTAAAGATAAACTCAGAGTTTTTACAGTTTTATATGGTTGTCTTCATGCAGTGTTTGTTCTACACCCACATGGTGTGATGTTTAGGAAGTGAGAAACGGCAATTGCTTCAGTATTTCAATTGCAATAGAGTAAATGTTACTATTTGATGGAGTCATTGTTGTTTGCTTATTTTTATTCATTGCTGTCCCATACATGGGGACACAAACCTACCAGAAAGGAAGGAAAGATGCTAAAAATGGCCAAGCATTTGATAGTAGTCAGTGGTCCCTTTGTTAATTCTCTAGGCAAGCTACAGATTCTTGTATGGAATAACTTTACAAGAAGAAATCCACAAGTCAAGAGCAGGACATAAAATGTTAGCAAATTTGGGATCCATCTTTAACCTGAATAAGGAGTCTTCTTTGATCCACTTGCTACTTTTTCCTATATCTGATGCCATGTTTACACAGATCGTGTCGGTTTTCACTTGTTACACATCTGCTTAACTCTTGAGGGATGGATCCCAGCCACATTGGAAACCTGTTTGTCCATACAGGACTTTTCTGTATGAGGCTGTACACAGAATTGTGATCTAATCGCTATATGGAGAGCAGTTCCTTTCTTGATTTTCTGCTATGCAACCTCTAGGTGGCACTGTGGTATTGTGGAATAACACAAATACGCAAGAAGAAATCATGCTTTTTTTCTCTAACAATTAAATGTCCCCCTTGTCAGTTGTCAAAACACAGCCAACATGTGCTGAATGTGCTTCTTAAATACAGAAGAAAAATTGGAGGGTGATGGCATTTTAAAAAGAACCCGTAAACAACTGTGAGTAGCCTGATGCAGGAAGCCCACAGTAGGTCAAAAGCTGCAGTGGCCACAAAGCAATTCCTAGGTGTGGGCACTCGGTGTCACACAATCAGTTACTGTCCAACGTTAGGGATATGAGTTCTTTCAGTAAGTATGATAGTTGACAGGCTCTGAAGTCCTTTGATTTGACAGATGAAGAAACTTTTATCCTGCAACCTTCCTGCTTCAAAGCATAGAAGTTTATGCAGGACTTTGTTGTTGTCATCTTCCATTTGTAAACATAGAAATTTAGCAAGTCAGAAAGGGTCTCTTGGAGCATCTAGTCTGACCCCCAGTTATTTTTTAACTTAACTTTAACTTAATGCACTGTGTGTGGAGGAAACATGCTTATGCGGCTCTGCTCCCTCCGCTCCCTGCCACATAAGCCAACGTTTCCTCTATAGCACCGGCTCCTGTCACAGGCAGAGTGATACCAAATGCTCTCCGCCTGTGAGGAGTCGATAGTGAAAGCGCGCTTCTTTCATTCTGGCCAGCAATCGGTTACCAAATTGCTCTTGGGAAGGTATGGCACCCCTGATTGCCCTGATCATCCTGTTCTTAACTTCACCATTCACTCTTGTCTTGTAAGTCTTCTACCTGTACAGTGTTATGGTATTATGGTATGGCACCGTATTTAATGATAGATTTAAACAGAATATTACTTTGACCCCCCCAGACAAGATGAGTGCAAAAAGAAAGAGCTATTCCGTCGAGTACAAGAAAAGAATCGTGTGGCAAGAATCTTACAG